TCTGCTGAGCTGATTTGCTGAACAGATAAAGAGAGTTTTAACCCAAAGAATGGCATGTAGTATATGACCTTGGGTTTCAAAAGGTTTATTTTTGTTCATGCGACAAAATAAGGTTTTAATATTAAATATAGGATTGGATTTGACTTGGCAGATACCAGAGCCTTCCATTACTGCTGTAGTCATAATATAAAACTATCTGATGTGTGCCAGTGGGCATGCAGCAAGCCAAGAATTTCTCCATCAATGTTTGTTTTTTGTGCAAATTTAGCTGGCTATTTCACAATTGGGTTGGCTATAACGGTGATATGCCCTTGTGTTGGAGGGCTAAAGCAGTGGCAGGCACGATATGATCTGTGCTGTGTCTTTATAGTTAGTATCTCTAGTTTTGGGGCAAAATATGGTGGGGGTGGGGGTGTGTGTGTCCCTTAGCATTTTGTTCAGCAGAACCAAGGCATAAACCAAACTAAGTGAAATATTCAGATCTGTTAGTATAGAAATTTAATGCTGTGTTGCAGCTTTCAGTTTATGTACCTGGGGCCACGCACAGATACAAAATACTAATTTTGAGGTTTCCTTCCTGCACACGCTCCATCTCAGATTGTCGTCTTACTGCGCTTTTGGACCGCTGAATTGTAATTGTTTTGCCGTTGACACAGGAGTCGGGATCAGGCTAACCTGCCACGGGCGCTTTGCTACCCGCTTAGAAGGGAACAAGTTGGTACAGGTGCAGGTAGCAGTGAACTTTGGGGTTGATAGAAAAGGTCGTGAGCAAACCTGGTGTCCATATGCTTTAGCAGAGCTTCATCCATCTATGGGTTATCCTCACCCAGTTTTCTGTGGAAATGGGGCTTGTTCAGTCTGTCTATGTATTTTTTTTTTTTTAGCTTGTTTGTTGGCCGTGGCTGGCTGAAGGTGGTTGACTTTTCTGGAAGTGATGTGGAAATTTGGTGAAAATTGGGAACTTGTGGAAAGGAGCGTGAGTTTGAACACCTACAGGCCTGTAAGCTGTGATCCTTTTTTGTCTGGTTCCTTGGCAGCCTCCTGAGATAAGCCCCAAGTGGTGAGGACGTACCCTACAAGGAGGAGGCTGCTGTGGGGATCCGGTGTTTCCACATAGAAGTAATGGAACATCTCGGTATAAATTAACTTGTTTATGGGGAATCTCACTTTATTAGCTCCCCGGTCATGGGTGGGTTTCTTGATTATGATAGGTGCATCTTTTGTCTTGTTGGTAAGGCCTTGAACAAAAATGGACACAGGTGATTTGGGGGAATGAGCAGCTGCTTACAGCCCAGATATGAGGGAAGAGTCTCTTTATCCTTGCGGGGGATAAAAAGCCTTTTGGTTGGTCTTCCATTCATAAGGCACGTGTATCTGAAGGTTTTGAACTTCTTACCAGGCAAATTCATTTCCCGTGTGTTAGTTGGTTGTGGCTGCTACTTGCCCCTCCACCAGCAGACTGATGCATCCTTATCCTCACAAATTTTGGAGTCAGGGCTGGTATAAGCGCTCACTCCCTAGTGAAAAGGACTTCTATAAGAGAAGCCAAGCTGGGTAAGTCAGCTACTGGTTTCTTCTCTCTGATTTTCGTTAGACCAAGGGTCAGAGGCACGTGGCAGGGTTATAGGTTTATTTAATTCCTGAAGGTCATGTCTGCCTCCATTCTCACGTACATCCTCCGAACCTCAGCCAGGAGCTCTGGTCCTGGATTATGGTCTGTTGTTCACTGAGAGAAATGTTATGGCAGCTGTTGAAACTACATTCGACTTGCTCTCAAATACAAGACTTTTTTCTGAAGAATAAAAGCAAAAGCTTTGGCAAAAAATGCTCACTGAAAATGACTATCCTAATTCTGTTCTGAATATTAATATTTCTTCCTATGAAAGACTTGTCTGAATTAAACGTAAAGGATTTCTAAAATAATCACAAGCTTTTAAAGCCCCATGTGTCACAATTTCTTCAAAAACAAATTACCAACCTAAAATTAAACAGATCAAAGACTTTTACTTTAGAGATTGTTGCCTTGGAACAGCTGCACAATACAGGTGAATTGCAGGTATTTAAATTTTCACTGTAACAAAGCAGTGTATTTTCAGCAACATGTGACCATTAACTATTTAAAACCACTTTAAATCTAATCTTTAAATACAAATCTCTTGCAGGCAAATGGGATTTTTCGAAGATTTAACTGTTAATTTAAGAATTTGAGAATTAGAATCGTTGTGTGCTGCTGCATTTTTGAGTTTTTTAGAAGATACATCTTTTGATTCTTCAGGGATTGTTTTAAATCTTAGAAGGGAAGTACCTTACTGCTCATTTGCTTATCTTTTATACTCTTTATTTTCTAGTAGTTCTCTGGTTTAGTCTTGTTCATTTCCATACAAAAAATCCTGTAAGCAACATTCCCTGTCAGTTTTACTCCTTTGCGACTACTGATGTGTTGCAGACCAGCAATGTTCTCCCAAATGCTCATCATGCTTTAAATTTGATCGATACTCACCTGAACACTTCTGTTACTCAGTAACTTGCATATGGATCAATATGAAGCGTGTGCAGTCTTCCCTTAAACAGTTATTTCTGGGAAGGAGGGATCTGTGGAGTTCAAAAAAACAAGCCACCACTAAACTCTAGCTCGATGCATATTAGAAGTAAAGCTGTGTTGTTTCAGAACGTGCCTTGAAAGGACGAAATTCAATAGGGATCTTACTTTCCAAAAATTTTAACTCTGAAAGATCAGCTGGAAGACTTTTTGTTAACTTTGATCCTTCTTAAAATTGACCCGTTCATAATGAGTTTCAGTTTCTGGTGTATGCTTTTTCCTGGAATGGATCCTTGAAAACTACCCACTTTGAAGCGTTTTTGTTTCTCCCTTTAAGAAATATTTCTGGTTTTCCTTTGCTATCTGATATGTGAAACTAATAAAACACTACAGGGGTGCCAAATGCACAAAGTACAACTCCACATTTGTAAGGCTGTCGCTGTCCTGTACCAATCTTTTTGGTGGACCCGCGTGCATGATTGCAGAACACAGGTTTTGCTGCACATCCAGATTCCACTCCCTGGATGGCTGGTTATTCAGTAAGCTCTTGCTTTGTTTAAGAACCGAATGTAATTATTTGACTTGTTGCTTAAAGGTACGCTTCTTTCCCGAAAGAAGTTTTATATGTACCAGTTGACCATTCTGAAATGCATTATCTGCTCTGTTCATAGAGAATTTACTTTGGTAGTATATAATTCTCGAATCCTTTGTTGAGGGTAATATGGAGGGAAACAAAAATAGACATGCTTGTATATTTTTACACCAGTGAAATAAAGTCTTTCTTGATATATTGCGTATTCCCCTTTATTGTAGATGTCTGACTGACTTTCAGTACCTGCTCTCTTGTTTGCGGTCACAGTTGTTGTTATCTCTTTGTGCTGTCCCATAGTTTATTTCTGTCCTTAAGTACATTTCTTAACTACTTTTATTACATCATTTGGAAGTCTACCACAATCAAGCTTTCCTTGAAGAATCCTCAAATAAAGTTACATTGCATGATGGAGTTGCATCGATGCCTAAGTTTGATCACTTTTAACACTTGTCGTTAGGCAGGGTCACTATGAAGCATTTCTGCTTCAAGCCAAACTCCTTACTATGGGAACAATCCATCCAACACTTGGAATTGGTCACTGCATTGCTGGTGAGCTGTGTTTTTCAAATGGAAAGTGCTCTCCTCACTTTCCTGACTGCTGTTTGACTGTTTTTAGATGCAGTACAATGTTAAGCTTTGTGCACTGTGCCTTTCATATGTGCCAGCAAGGTACCAGCATCCAAGACATTCGCAAAGTTTCTCCAGAGAATTTGCCCATGGCTGCAGGTGTTGGAGATTTGAACTGGCGGAATGATACTGGTTTATGAAAGCGTCTGTGGGGTGTCTTTATGCTCAGTGTAAATCCTTCTTTCTGTCCTCTGCCTTTGTGGAACAACCATAGCAAAGAAGTAAGGGATGCAAAGACAGTGGTCAAAAGGATGTGGATGTCTCCAACTTGCTTTCAAGCTTGCAAGCTTGTGTATTTGTCCATGAGGTTTCTCATTTTTTCCCAGGGAAACGTGGCATTTTGAGTTGTTTGGGACTTGGAACAGGAATTTCCCATATGTATAAAATACAGCATTCTCAAAGGCTAGTTTTGTTGAAGCAAGGAGTAGTATGGGGATATCCTTTAATTGTTCCTTTTCGTTATAGCCTTGATACTTCTAATATGACTGTTTTTCTACTAGGTGGACCCTATCTGACCAAACCAGATAAATTGGCACCTATCTCTGTCCAATGGGGAAATGACCAAACTACTGTTTCTTGAGCAGTAGTTGTCATTCAGTGCTTTTTCCACTGTTGTCCTCCTAGATACACTAGGAGGATGTGCATAAGCATATAGTGGAGCAAAATAAGATTGTGTTGTGTGAGAGATTATTTACTTTCTGCCTGCACCACCTTGTTTCCCTCCTCCCCCTGTGATCACAGAAGTTGTGTGCTGTACATCAAAAACTCAACTGGTTCAACCCAGAACCTACTACCTGATACTTCAGCTGCATCCCACTTCTCAATGTGTAAAAATTCGAATTCACAAGAGTAGAATAACATTATTTTCTATTGTGCACTTTCTTTGGCATTCCCATTTAAACAAATATAATCAGGGCAACTATCTGTGCAAAACTTACAACAGTATTTTAAGAACAATCTCAGGATGCTGAATATCCCACTGGTCCCAGGAAAGAAGTCATGGTTCCAAGACTGCTTTATTCTGTCTGAAAACACTACTATGATAGCTAGCTGTGAAATTGTATTACATCAACTAACCTAACAATGTTATGCCATTCGAACTAGAGTAGACTGAAATAAGAGAATTTCTAAACTTACCTTGTCTATGAGGAGAACACTCATCCTTTTCCTGTGGTCCTAATCTTGCAGCCTGCTCTGGTTATAAGGAGTATGTTGTGACTTTTCATTTTTCATTCCCTCCAGGTTTACAGGAACAGATGGACCAAGTGGTTTTGGATTTGAGTTGACGTTTCGGCTAAAGAGAGAAACCGGGGAGTCTGCACCACCTACCTGGCCAGCAGAATTAATGCAAGGTTTAGCAAGATACGTCTTCCAGTCAGGTACTGCAGGGTTAAATGTACTGCCTCACTTTTTGCTGCTTTCGTTCTGAAGGGCTGCATCTGTTACATCAGTTCTCAATCAAATCTTGAGAATTTTCTTTGTGTGGGAAGCCAAAAGAGTGTGTTCCTTCCATCAGCCCAGCTTGCTGGGGCCTGCTGTCCAGGTGACTCTAATCCCTAGTTTGGAAAAGCTGATGATACAGAACAGTTAGTAACCATAGGAAGTCTGCTCAATGGCTCCTTGTCGCTCTCCTGCGTTACTGGTTTCAGCCTCTCTCAGTAAGAAAACCTCATTTGCTTATCCTGAAATGGCTGAGAAGCACCCATCTGATAAGGTCTCACTTCTCAGCAGAAGGGCCATAACTTCCAAAACATATGCAGTTCCTTAACAAGCAAGTCTCTTCCTATGCTCTGTGCAGTTGAGCAGCAGCAATGTATGTAAACAAGGAGTTGCTGAGATGAGAAAATGTCAAAGTCATAAGGGTTGCGAAGGCTGGGAGGGCTAAGGAATTAACGATTGGGAATCATTAATATGGATGGAGACTTGCCAGAAAATTGGGAACCAGAGTGCCTACAAAACCTTCTCTTGCAGTACTCTGCCTGGGTTATGTTTATACCACTAAAATGAATATTAGTTTGTATTGTGAGCACATGAAGATCCATGGAATGGTTGAGTGCATAGTGTATTTGAAAGGCACCTTCTAGCACCACAAGATCTGAATGAAAATATTTGAAGAACTTTTTTTAGCCTAGTTTCAGGTCCTTTACAGGTAAAGTACCTGCTAAATCAATGGTTATTGAATTTGTAACATGTGGTACTTGCTCTGCTAGCTAATAAATTGCTCAGTAACTTCTGGTTCTGTTGCTGGTTTTCAGTCATCTGGCTAACTCTCGAAGGGGAAAGGTCTGGGTGAAAACAGGATTGCTCTGGTAACCTCAGTGACAAATCACTGAGGCAGTGGCAACTTTTGTGGGTTATTTCTTCTAAAAGTTGGCTGGCAGAGACCAGTGCCAGCATAGATGATCGCTTGCCTTCATACTGGGAGTGTCTCTTGTTGCAGTTTGAAATAACACAAGTGGGTTTTCTTGTAACCTTTGCTGTGTAGCTATAATCTTCCCTGGTTGCCATCCAAATTTGGGCTCATCTGTTCTCTTTTCTATCTTGACTTGAGCATCTAAATCCACATGACTGTCATAGTATTTGCCATTATTTGAGGTTCCTGTCCTGCCTAAATTGTATTGTACAGTAGCTTTTTGATACTGACCATGCAGTGATGAATTCATACTCGTATTTTCTGTGTATTGACTGCATGGTCTGAAGAAAACATCTGACTCTAAATTCTTCTTCCTAGATATAATATAGCATACAACATGTTATATGTTAACTTATATTACATATAAGACCCCTTTTAGAGCCTTTTAAATTTTCTAGTCCAGTGTGGGTTCTCATAAGTCTCTTTAATACAGTAATTTCTGTGCCTTCTATTTGCACGTTAAGCAACCTCTCTACAGCAGTTGCTTTTTTGTCTCGCCCTTTCCTTGGGTGAAAGGAGGTCTGCAGAGTGAGACGGGATTTGGTAGGGTACTTTAGGACAAACTTCTCAGTGACTAAGCTGGCACTCCAGGCAGAGATTTTCCTTGTTTGGCTATCTGTGCTAATGCAGTCTCATCTTTCTAACCTCAAAACAAATGAACTGTTTCTAGACTGGAAAGGGTGGTTTTGCCCATGCATATCAGTCTGATGTGAACTTCTAAGGGCCTTCAGTATTATCCTCAGTTTATCCATGCTGGTTTTGACTTTCTGTCCACCATGACTCTTTAAAGGTACTGCTCAAATATATGTTAATAGATTCTAGCCTCTGGGTGTTTAGCGCTCAATTTACATTAATAAAAAACACTGTCTATGAATCATAAATTGACTTCTTTGAATGTGAAATTGAGCGTGAGCCAACACTACACTCATCACGCAATAGGCAAGCCACTTGCTGGGTTACCTTAGGAAGAGCATGAGCAGCAGATTGAGGGAAGATATTGCCACCTCTGCATGGTACTGGGGAGGCCTCACTTAAAATAGTGTCCTGTTTTGGGCCTCCTGGCTTAAGAGATGCTGAGAAAGCAGATTGTCCAGAGTGGTCAGGGTCCTAGAGCACATGAGCTATGAGAAGAACTGGATGGAGCCAAGCTGGTTTAGCTGGTGAAAGGAAGGTGCAGGGTGATCTAATGGGAGCCCACAGCTGTTGGGAGGGTAGTTAGAAGATTGTGGGGTCAAGCCCTAGATAATACAACAAGGGGATACAGGTCTGAATTGTAGTATGGGAGGTTCTCTAAGGGCTTCAGGGAAAATTTACTTGCTCACAAGGAGGGTGGCAAAGCACAGGGAGCAGTTTATCAGAGTGTTAGTGGATCTCTGTTTCTGAAAGGGTTCAGGACTTAGCTCAACAAAGCTACAACGACCCTGGTCTAGTGTTGGTGATGGCTCCGCTTCAAATAGGAGGCTGGACGAGAGACCTCCAGAGGCCTCTTAAAATATCACAGAAGAGTTGGAATTTTTTTTTTTTTTTTTTTTTTTTTTTTTTTTTTTTTTCATACAGCTTCATGCCCTTCGGCAGGCAGCTGTGTGCTGTCACCAAGTATTACCAACTGTTCCTTGCCCTGTATAAAAGGAGATTGTATGCTGTTGCAGCAAGTGATCAGGCTGTAGTTTTATTTTAGTACAAACTTGCATATTGCTCGTCTGGTTTGAATAAGAACTTTCTCAAGCTAAAATCTTCTGGCTAATCATAGATGTCAGCTTAATCCTGACAAGATAATGCATTTAAAAGTAAGACTTGTAATGGGGTAGACTATCGTGTTTCTTCTTGATCTCACAGGGCAATACCAGTTGGCCATAGCTAGATGCAGTCACCTTCTAATTTAGCGTAAGCCTGCTCACTCCATTGCTCTGCAGAGTCCCCAGTCCTGCTACATTTCACGTGTCCCGCTTTGCTTTACTCCTGTGAGCCGCCCCCTCTCAGGCTGGCAGTCTCCAGAGCAATTCCCATGTTCTTGCATCACCCTTGGGTGATCAGGCACCCACTGCTCAGCAGTCTTATTTTTGTTCCGCCTAGTGGGATTTCCCCCAGTCTAACATGGCCGCTCTGCAAAGCCGAGTGAGCTTCTGCCAGTCTTTTGTCCTTGGTCTTTTACAGGACTTCTATGGTCAGATGTTAAAACTTTAAAACTGTGAAGTATTTGAAGGGGCGGTTCTTCTGAAGCCCACTGGGCATTAGGCAGGCTGTGACACAACAGCATTGTTTTATATGATGAAAGGGGTTTTTTTGCTCAAGTTCTGTTGACCGTACCATTTGGAGCATTTGTCAACTGTAACAATGATAAGCGTTGTTTGACTCTAGCGTGTGTACCTTAATGTTGTCCTCTTCAGTTGTTTAAAAATCTATGGAGTCTCTGTAATACTCCAAAATAGCCTTAACAACATTTGATAAACTGAAACAACTTGAGTAATGCTTATGAATCCATTCCGAAGAAGAAGGGAGAAAAAAATAAAACTGGCAGGAACTTTTTGGATAGGCTCCAAGCACTTTGGCATGTCAAAGGATTGTTTACTTTGAAAGCTATGCTAAGAGCTAAATTCTTATCTCTTGAATAACAAGCCAACTTTTTGGTTATCATAGATGTGCTTTGCTGGGTCCAGTTGAAGTTGAGGGAGAGTAAGATATAGTTATACTCCTGCTGAGCCTGAGCATTTTCAAATGGTGATGACTGAGTTGGAGAGTCATCTAGCAGATACTGCTGTCCTAAATATTATTACTGAGTATTGCAGTTGCAAAGTATGGCTCGTTGCAGGTGATGTATTTTAGTAACAAACACTTCTGGGCAAATGAATGTTACGCTCCTTTGTTTCCATCTCTCCTGCACTGTGGTTGTGCTTTAGAAAAGCAGTCTTCTGCATTGAATTTCAGGCCTCTTTGAGCCTTGGCTTCCCTGTTCACTGTAACAAACACTCGGTGCTTTGTGCTTTTGATTAAATGCCACTATTGCCCCTCCTTCAACAAAACCAAGCTTGCAAGTCTCAGAAAAATTGTATTTGTGGCTTTATCTGTTATTAATTTTATCACTGTTTGACCATGACCACAAATTCCAACTCTGTTATTTTTAGCTTTAAAAAAAAACCCCAAACCTGCAAACCTTGAAAATGAAACTTTGTACAATTCGGTGACCTTAGCTTGTCATGGTTCATGGATGTACTGGGAATATCTCATGGTAGAACAAATTTATACTTCAATTCAAATGAAGAGGAAGAAATGCTCTTCCTACGGAAAGCTTATCCGGGGCTTGTTACAACTGTTAACTCTTCTGGTACTGCAGAATTACGATGCTTGATCAGTATAGAGAGGCTATGGTTTGTGTTTTCCTGAAATTAAAACCAAAACAACCCCCCAACATGCAAAAACCTGATGTTTCTGATTGGTCAATCCGACTTCAGGTCTTAAGAAACCGATAGGAAAAACAAACCATCTAGAAGGCATCCAAGGAATAATGAACATTCCAGAATGGATTTATCCAGAATAAACTGGAATAAACCAATTGCAGTGAATTAACAGGCACCATGGGAAGCAGTGAATGTTGGTTACCTTGATACTAGTGAGACTTTTGACATTGTTCCTTCCAACAGGTATGTGAGCGAGCTGAGGAAATGTGATCTTGATAAAAAACTAAAGAAAGGGGGATGCAATAATGGTTGGATATTTAGATTCTGAGTAATTGTTGATGTGTTGTTGTCAGCCACAAAAGATGTGTAGAGTTTAGATTCCTCTAAAATCTATCCTAGCACTCATGCAATTTGGTGTTGACCAGGATGATGAAGTACAGAGTATCCTGATGAAATCTGCAGACACAGCAAAGCACCATGGCGCTGAGGGCTGGAGGTCAGAACAACCTCTGCAAATTGTGGAAATGGTCTGAAGTACCGATGTGCAGTAAGGTCAGGAGGGTGCAACAAG